AGAACAGCAAATGCTCTTAACCCCTGAGTTAGCTATCTCTCAGGCCTAAGTGAATCAGATAGTTACTCATAGTTCTAAAATATCTTGCTCTACATACTGTTCCTCCAAGCTTTTTGGTCTCATACAATGATATTACCCAAGTATTTCCTTACTATCCCATATATATTAAGCCATTAGACTTAATTCTTTAGTTTTGTTTGTACTTGTTTTGAGACAAGGTCATTTGTCCCAGCCTGTCCTAGAATTTGACAAGTTACTGAGGATGACTTTGAACTTCTGATCCTCCTGCATCTAGGGTTACAATCATGTACCACTACTGTTAGCTTTTCATGTTTTCTTTTACAAACCTGTTTCTATTAGTTTTATTTAAAATACATACAAATAGAGTTTGGAGGAGTTTTGTTTTGTGTGTGGATTAAACACAAGGTCTTACACCTTAGGTGAGCACTCTGCCCAAATAGCTCAGGCCCCAAACCACTGCCTTTCTAGTACTGTTTGCTGAGGAAGCTGTGTGTCAGGCAGGAGCCCCACAGAGGGCAGCACTGGGAAGGACTATTTTTCCTCTAGCCTTCCCAGTATAGGCCTTGGGGCTCCAGACTTGATGTTCCCACCAGGTTTCTGGAGACTGGTTGAGATCAGAGAGTTAGTTGCAGCAGCCTATGTGCTTGTTGGATGACATTTCAGCTGTCCTGAGGACAGCTTTCTAGTTTTCTTGATAATAAAAACAGGCATGAAAATCTATCCCTGCTACTCCTCCTTCTACAAGCCAGTTTGCCTATCCATAATTTATAGGCATTCTTAGCATTTGAGGTGAAGTTCTGTTATACACTCAGGCTGTGGCTCTGAAAGTCAGTGCATCACAGAACTTTGTCTCGAAAGCTTTCTAGCAGCTGCCCATTGGGGGAGTGAGAGGGAAGAGTAGATCTTTTCAGTCCTTTGAATATGGTCCTAAGATTGTACGGTCTTTTTCAAGAGTCAGTATTTAATGCATCACAGGTCAAAACCTAGTCCGCTGTCCAGGATACTCATTTCTTAGTACCTGGGAGTTATTTACAAACGTATCCTTTGCAAAATGTAGAAATTACATTATTAGTAATGGCTTCTGGAGCCTTTAAACTGGCTGGTTTAATGACATGAAGGGAGCTCTCAGGCTTCCCCACTCCTAAGAGGTAAAAGCCTAGGGTGGAGTGGGCCCAGCTACAACAGAAGTAAGGAGAACTGGGTCTACTGCACCGTGGTGATACCTTCACATGGCATTCCATTTCCTGCTGAATACCCCAGCTTTCCTTGTGGGTCTTCCTTTGCAAGTTTAAAATGGTCAGACTTTGTTCTTCCTTCCCTCTTCCAGAACTTTAGTGCCTGAAAACTGGTCTGGTCTCTCTCCTTTCTCCCTTAACCTGTCTTTTATCTTGCCCAGGAAGACTCAGTGTTTCTGTTTTAAGGTTTCTTTGATCCTATCATCTAGGCAGCCAGTGAATAGAGCCAGGAACAGAACCCTGGGTTGTTTCTCTGTTGTTAGCATGGCTGTGTAGGTGCTTAGACTGTGCTGGCCACAAGAACATTGGCTCTCCCACTTGGCAGGTGGCCATTAGGGATTTTGGCTTCTGTGGGGGTGGGGTGGGGGTGCTCCCATTCCTTCTAGGAATGCCAGACTCTGGCTGCAAGAACAGTCACCAGTGCCAGATTAAGGTCCTGTTTCAACTTGTGGGCAGCTAGCCCTGTGTGGTTGCTGTGAGTGTGGATGGAGGGGCACCGCCATTTCCTTCTATTAGAACTTTTTGTCCATTAGGAAACTCATTCCTATTGAGGGCTCCATTTTGGTACTTGAACAGCCAAGTGGCTATAGAACAGAGCCTGCTCTGTGGGATGATCTTTCTGTATGGAGCTAGGAGTCAGAAGAACAACTTCTGTTTGTGGCTTTTAGACTATACTTGAGAAGACAGCCCTGCCAGATAGCACAGTTCCCCAGCTGCAGTGGAAATGTTCTTGTCCTTTATTCCAGAGAGCAGTGTGGCTAGGGTGGGCAGTTTTCAGTGTGTCAGAGGAGAGAGTGGGTTGGCAATAATACCATCCCAAAACAATCTCACTACAAAATCCACTTAGATGCAAAATCCAGTTATAATGCATCATCGTGCCAAGAGATTTCCTTTTAAGCTTTAGTCTCAATTTTGAACAAATATTAAGAGTTAGGAGTGTTCCAGGCATTGCTCTGTGTACTTGAGATGAAATAATGAACAAAATATAAAAATTGGTGAATGTTTTAGTTTCTTTCTTTTTGATTTTTGAGACAGGACCTCATCACAAATTACCGTCCTTAAGAATTCAAGTCAGATGGACATGAAGACACACATCTGTGATTAGAAAGTAGTAGATGGATTAGGTTTTTTGTTGGTTGTTTTTTTTTTTAAGATTTATTTATTTATTATATATGAGTACACTGTAGCTGTCTTCAGACACACCAGAAGAGGGCATCAGATCTCATTACAGATGGTTGTGAGCCACCATGTGGTTGCTGGGATTTGAACTCAGAACCTCTGGAAGTGCAGTCAGTGCTCTTAACCACTGAGCCATCTCTCCAGCCCAGTGGATTAGGTTTAAGGTTATCTTTGGATACTGGGACAACATAGCATAACCTGCCTCATAAAAAAAGTAAGTTGGGAAAACAAAGCTTACATTTTTTTTTTTAAAGATTTATTTATTTATTATATATGAATACACTGTAGCTGTCTTCAGACACACCAGAAGAAGGCATCAGATCTCATTACAGATGGTTGTGAGCCACCATGTGGTTGCTGGGATTTGAACTCAGGACCTCTGGAAGTGCAGTCAGTGCTCTTAACCACTGAGCCATCTCTCCAGCCCCCAAAGCTTACATTTTTTAGGTCATTTTCTTTTCTGTTTTTTTTTTTTTTTTTTTTTTTTTTGGTTGTTGTTGTTGAGACAGTATTTACTTACTTTTATAGCTCTGACTGTCTTGGGACTCGCTGTGTAGTCTTGAACTTAGAGATCTGCCTGCTTCTGCCTTCCAAGTGCTGAGTCAGAGCTGCTGGGCTCTTACACCATTTTCAAAAGACTGGATCAGTGAACTGGAGAGATAGGTCAGCAGTTAAGAGTCCTGGCTTCTGCCTAGTGGTGATGACACTTACCTTTAATCACAGGCCAGCCAAATCTCTGAGTTTGAGGCCAGCCTGATCTACATAGAGAGTTTGAGTACAGCCATGGCTGTACAGAGAAATAGAACACTGCTTTTAAGCTGAGTCTGGTGGTATACACTTTTAATTCCAGCAGTAGCAAAGCAAAAGGCAGGCAGATAGATCTCTGTGAGTTCAAGGACAACCTGGTCTACACAATGAGTTCCAGGACAACCTGGTCTACACAATGAGTTCCAGGACATCCAGAGCTTCATAGTAAGACCCTGTCTCAAAGACAAAACAAAAAAATAAACAAGCAAACAAACAAGCACCACCAACAAAATCCACTGGCTTCTCTTCTAGAAGACCCAGGTTCAATTCCTAGCACCCACATGGCATCTTTAATCCCAGCTGCAAGGGATTCTGACACCCTCTTCTGGCCTCCAAGGGTACCAGTCATGCAAGTAGTACACAAGTTTACATGTAGACAAAACACCCATACATATTGTGGGGGAAAAAGTGATGGCGCTTTGGAGGCAGGCTTGTGGGTTCAAGGCCAGCTGGGTTACTTATGGAGAGACCCTAGGTAGGTAGGTAGGTAGGTAGGTAGGTAGGTAGATAGATAGATAGATAGATGTTAAAAAAAAAAGAAAAGTCTGGGTTAATACTTCTTTTGAGCTAGAGTTGCTTCTTTTGCATGAAGCCCCACCTCACCAGAAACCTCACTTTACCTATGTCAGGCTGCAGTCTCTGGATCCTTTGCAGTAATTCTTTGTTCTGCCTCATGTCTTTGTTTAACATGTATTCTTGAAATGGGTGTGTTTTGTAAGACCAGGAGAGCAAAGCAGATAGTCTTGCCTTGGACCAGAGATATTGAGAAGTAGTCTTGGTGAGACTTCAAATACTGTGAGCGGCAGAGGCCTTCTGTGGCCAACGCCAACTCCTCTGACTTTCCTTTTTCCTTCTGAAAGTTGTGAGGCTAGAAGAGAGAACATCAGGCTCCATAGCTTTTCCCAAGTCATCTGTTTGCAATTGAAGAAAGGTGTTAAAGTGTAACCATTACAGCTAAGCTGTGATGGCTTTATGAGAGCCAATATCAGCAACTCTGTGTCATTCTGGGGTTTTGTTCTATTTTACAGGGGGAGGGACTAGGGATGAAACCCAGGGCTCCCTGCACACAAACATGCACTATGCCACTGAGTCCTTAGTTCCATTCTTGGTAGTGGAAGAAAACTTCCCCTCCTGTTATTTTAGCTACCTCCCAGACCCTGGAGGTCTCAAATATTTTTCTGTTTACTACACTTAAGATTCAGGTTGATTTTTGTTCTAGCAGATTAAGTGGTAATGGTTCATATATATCGAGGAAGGGTTTCATATGTAAGCTTTTAGACTATGTCTATCTCAGAACCAGTTTGTGTCTGTGTGTGTGTGTGTGTGTGCCTGTTTACCTGTGTGTGCAGGCACAAACCTGCTCTTTGTGTGGATGGCTTAGAGTGGCTTGCTTTAAGCTTCTGCTTTGGGACTGCAGTGACTTCCAAGGGCATTCAACCCTCTTTCAACTGAGTAGTGCCTGTTCATTAGCACGGTCACATTCCACCTGTGTTCAGGAGGCCAGGGAGAATGGCTGATTGAGAAAATGACTTGGCCTTAGGACCTAGAAAGAAGAACATGGTAAAGGCCTGTGAGCCTGAAACTGTCTCTCTGGGCCTTGTTTATTCTCAGGGGGAGGTATTAGACCTAATCATGCTGCAATAGGGGACACACAAACCCCTGTGTGACCCTTTGCAGCCCAGTGGGACCAGGGAAAGAAGGTATTAGGCTTACTAGTAATGATGCCCCAGAACTGAAGATATGTTCATGTTTCTTCAGGAGCCCTCCCTGTACACTGTCAAGGCCATCCTGATTCTGGACAATGATGGAGACCGACTCTTTGCCAAGGTAAAATTTGCTTTCATATTAATTCTGCAGGACAGAAACATTTGATACTTAAATATCGGGATTGGCCATACTAACTCAAATTCTTCTGGAATGTGATGATCTTGAGAATTCTTTCACCTTACCTGTGACTACTCCAGGTAAATCCAAGTTGGCAATCTTCTGTTCCTTAGAGTGTTTCTTGCCTGCTCTGATCAGCCTCATCAGGGCAAGGAAGAGCTTTAAAACCTTAATTCCAGAGCAAAACACTATCTCAATGCTAGAGGCCTCTATTTATGTCTGTTTTATCTATCCCTTCTGCCCCCAACCTTATTACCTTGTCACTTGAGTTTTTCAGGGAGTCCTCCAGTTTCTGACCTCACCAAGCTGTATGCCCCAGTGAGCTGTTGCTAACTTTGGGTGGATTGAGAGGAGGAAGGACACCCCTCTCTTCCATTCTCCCCCCTCCTGTAGAAATATCTTCTGTCCCTGGTGTATTAACTCTGGGCGAGCAGAGCATAAATCAATCAGCAGGTGGAGATTAGTTAGAATTCACCAGCTGTTCCTCCCTGTAATTGGATGTAACTATGCAGGACACCTTTGGAAACAGTTATCCAGTTACTAAATGCCAGACCTGTCATAGGTCTTCAGCTGACTGCGACAGATTAGCCCCTAAAGAGCAGGCGGTTTAGCAGCCTGTATCTTCACCCCCTTGCTGGGAGAGCTTGGGAGTGGGCTCAGTAAAGTGCCGACTGCCTGCTTCTCTCATCCAGCAGAAAAAGCCAAGGTGTACAGGGCACAGGGCATGGATTTGCCTTGCTGTGGGAGAAATGGTCTCCCAGCCATGTGGTCGTGTCCACAACTTTAATCCTAGCCCTTGTGCACTCGGGGAGGCAGAGGCAGGCAGATGATCTACAGAGTTATTTCCAGGACAGCCAGGACACCACAGAGAAACCCTGTGTAGGGACAAAAAACCTAAAAAGAAACCTACAGGTCTTCCTGCAGTGAGAGAGAGCCTGAAGACCCCTCCCCCCCTCCATCTACTGTTCTTATTTCTCCAGCACTGTCCCTGACAAGAGGGTCTCCTTGGAAGCGTGTGGTGGTCTTTAAGAGAGCTGGTGGGTCTCTGCCCTCAGAGTCCTCGAGATGGCTCATAGGATTGTAGTATTGATTACAGCACAGTCCTTCCCTGTTGTTTGTTTGTTTTGTTTTTTAATTTATTTCTTTTCTGCGTGTATATGTGTGAAGTTGTTGGAGGAGGCCAGAGAATAACTCACAGGAGTCGGTTCTCTCCCTCTGCTGTGTGGGTTCTGGTTTTGAGGCTTGGCAGTAGTCTCTCTGTCTCTGTCCCCCCTCCCTCCCTCCCTCCCTCCCTCCCTCCCTCCCTCCCCCATTCCCTGCCTCTGTAGTCCTTGCTTCTCTATCTCAGAATTCCTCTGTTACCGAATGTCTTGGAGGGATCATACAAGATCCCAGAGTAGAACACTCACTAACCATTGTGGACTCACAGCTGTGATGACCCATCCCTGTCTCCTTTCCCTCCCACTAGTACTATGACGACACCTACCCGAGTGTCAAGGAGCAAAAGGCCTTTGAGAAGAACATTTTCAACAAGACCCATCGGACAGATAGTAGGTCATTCTTCACCATTCCCTGTGTTTTGGGGAAACCACAGGAAGGGGTGTCAGCAGGACTGCAGGAAAAAAAGATAAAATGACTCGACCTCCTCTTTCTTTTCCTCCTCCCCTCATATAATAAACTCTTCAGAAATGTAATGGGGAGGTGAGTGTACCTCACACGGGAATACCGTGCTAGAAGCTTGGCTGTTAGCTACCTGTCTAGTCCCTGGATTTATGAGCCTCACTTGACAAATTTAACTGCAGCTCTGCTTATTGTACCGCATCCATTAGGGCAGGTAAATGGAAGCCTGTAAAGGTGACCGCTCTGCATTTTTACCTCCGAAGGATCGGCTGGTATTCTGTCTCATACACAGGGAGGGAAGTAGGTGCAGTGGGGGAGGGAGAGCTAGAGAACATAGACTCCCCTGAGTTTCTAAGTCCCTTCTACTACCCCTCAAAACAGTAAATAGCTTCAGTGCTTGGAGGTCGTTACAGTCGGCCTTTCCCATGCAGCCTGCCCCAGGTATTCCTGGGAACTCCTGTTCTGCCGCCTCCTCTCCCACCATTCAGTTTCTGCTTTCTTCCCCCAGGTGAAATCGCCCTTTTGGAAGGGCTGACAGTGGTCTATAAAAGTAGCATCGATCTCTACTTCTATGTGATTGGCAGCTCCTATGAAAACGAGGTGAGAGTCGTGCATGTGCTACTCTGATGCCACTTCTGAAAGCCCAGTGGGACATACCCGCTGGCTTGGGGCTTTGAAGAGCCACATTCCTCTGCTATCTGGCAAAGTCATAAAGAGGTCTGTCAGAGATCCCTGTCAGCCTTACAGAAGAAATGGCCCAGCCAAAGAATCAGTGCAGAAAGGAAGTTTCCCAGGTCTTTTTTTTTTTTTTTTATATAAGGGGCAGGATCTTACTGTATAACACAGGCTGTTTTCAGATCACATCTGTTTTCCAGGTTCTGGAATTAGAGACATGAACCACCATCTCCAATTAGAATATACATTTATATGTTATTAATATTCTTTCCTACACGGTGATGTTTTAGATTTTGTTTGTTTCTTTATTTTTGTTTTATTTTTGAGACAGTATAGCCCAGACTGGTCTCGAACTCAATGTAATCTTCCTGTCTTAGCCTCTCCAGTGCTGAGATTGTAGGAATTATGTCAAGTTCCCATGGTGGTTTTTGTTTTTTGTTTTTTTGGGGTGTGTGTGGGGGGGGTGTGTTCAAGATAGGAATTCTATGTGTAGCCCTGGCTGTCCTGGAACTCACTCTGTAGACCAGGCTGGCCTTGAACTCTCAGAGATCCACCTGCCTCTGCCTCCTGGGTATTTAGATCAAAGGTGTGTGCAACCACTGCCCTGCTAACCCTTAGTGGTTTGTTTGTTTGTTTTTTAACTTTTTAAAATTTTATTTTATGTGCATTGGTATTTTTGTGTGAAGGTATTGAGTCTCCAGGAACAGGAGTTACAGATGGTTGTGAGCTGCTGTGTGGGTGCTGGGAATTGAACCCAGGTCCCCTGGAAGAGCAGCCTCTTAACCTCTGAGACACCTCTTCAGCCCTCACCCACAGTGTTTTTTAAAGGTAGATTTCTGAGGTATAATCAAGGGTGTGCATGTGTAAGTGTCTTTAGTTCATGGTGAAGCCATACGGTATTAAGGGGTCACTTGATGAAGTCTCATGGTATATGTGGGTCTATGAGTATATTCCTAACCTTCCTGTATGCACTTCTGGGAGAGGAGACAGGTACATAAGCCACCAGATAATTTTCCATCACAGTTAAGACTTTGAGAGACCAGGTCCTGCTGAGCTCTTCCTGCTATGTGTGTGCTCTGTGAAGTGCATTGTTTAAGCTTGGCAGCATTTCTGTGGGTTGGAGGCATTACTGTCTTTGTTTTGCCAACAAGGAAACCAAACCACAAAGAGCCATATAAAATTACTTGTATTTGGCTTTTGTCAAACTATAAAAGTAGCTGTATGTGTGATTCAGCTCACTAACTCTTGAGGCTACACATGTAGAACAAGCTGAGATTCAAACCTAGTTCTGACTCAAGAGTCCAAGCTGGGGCTGGATGTGTAGTTTAGTAGTGAAGTGTGCCCATAGCAAATTTGAAGTCTTAGATATGATCCTTATTTTTTTGTTTGTTCTAAACAGGGTTACTCTGTGTAGCCTTGGCTGTCAAGAAACTCACTTTGCAGACCAGGCTGATCTTGAACTCACAGAGATTCACTGCCTCTGCTTCCCGAGTGCTGAGATCAAAAGCATGAGTGACCACACCTGGCTCTGAGTACTGTTTTTAAAAAGGACTTTCCACCATCTTCCTCTGATCTCAGCTCTTAATTAGTTAATGATTTCTCTCTTTACTGATCCATCAGGTAGCTTGGTAAAGGCATAGGAGTAGGGGCTGAAGAGCTAGTTCAACTGGCTGCTCTTCCAGAGGACCTGGGTTTGATTCCCAGCACCCACATGGGAGCTCACAACTGTCTATTGCTCCAATCCCAGGGAATCTGGTGCTGTCTTCTGGCCTCTTTGGGTACTGCATACATGTGGTATACAGGCATAGTTTTAGACATATATATATAGAGAGGCAGAGAGGTATGGTAGTGCACACCTATTATCCCAGCACTTGGGAAGTACAGGCAGGATAATCAGGAATTTGAAATTGACCTCAGTTACATTGGTGGTTCAAGACCAACCAGGGCTATGTTGGTTCCTAGCATCCATGTTGGGGAGCTCATACCCTCTGTAACTCCTGATCCAGGGAGATCCAGAGCCCTCTTCTGGAATCCATGGGGACTGCTGTGCTCGGAACATGTGCTGGCATGTAAAACACACAGTAATAAAAGTAAATCTTTAATAAAAAGTAAATACAACACAGAGGGCTGTAGACATTACAGAGGACTATACCAGCAAAGTTCTGTCTCAGTTTCTGTCTTAAAGAAGCCTCCACTTGTGGAATTGCTTAGCAGAGCTAACTTCTCTGAGAAGCCAGAGTTCTGCTGTTGTGTTTGCCCTTCACGTTATGTCTCTGGCCATTTGTGAAAGCTCATGCCTTTTGCTAAGGAATAAAATGGAGGGTCTGCTTTGGGGTAGCAGTTTTAGGGCCTTGAACTTCCCTTCTCCTTTCTCAACAGCTGATGCTTATGGCTGTTCTGAACTGCCTCTTCGACTCTTTGAGCCAGATGCTGAGGTGAGCAGCCATTCTCATTTTAAATTGGGAAGGGAAGTACCTATTTCTTAGAGCCAGGGATTAGTGGGAAATTAGAACCACACTGGGGAATTGGTTCAGCGTAAGAAATTAGACTTGCTGCTTGGGGATAACTGAGTGGAGGGTTAAGTGGAGAGAATGGTCCTCACATGGAATCATTCTCTTACTAAGGGAGGAAAGAGTCCTTTACTCAGAAAGAATAAATATTCCTTTCTCTGTTTCCTCTGGCTGGGCTGATAATTGAAACCAAGGGTACCACTGAGCTTCTCACCCAAACTTTTTCTTTATTTTATTTTTTCTTTTAATTTAAGACAAAGTCTTACCAAGTTGCCCAGGCTGTCTTAAGACTCTTTGTAACCTAGGCAACTCTTGAACATGTAATCCCTGCTTCAGCTTCAAGAGTAGTTGGGAGTACAGACATGAACCTAGTCTGTATGCCTGAACCTACTCTTGTCATGTCCAGTAACTCTGATGGTGTTCTGAGCCCCAGGTGCTTTCCTAGGCTTGTCCTCAGGGTTTGAAGAAGGGGAAGGACAGGGAAGTGACCAGGTGAAACTTCCCTACCTTGGGAATGGAGGAAACACTACCAGTTTTCTGTTACTAGCCCTCTGGACACAGAATGGGCCCAGTGTGCTCTTTGCCCTCTTTGCCTCCCCAGTATCCCTGTTCCCATGCACACAAGCAAGAGAAGATATAAGATACTTTCTCTGAAAACATTCAAGGCTCTGAACTTCAGCCACAGCAGCTCCTAAAAGTGAACACATTTTAGAAATCCATCTGGAGTAGAACAGCGGGTGCTCTCAGCCCACAAACCAGCAGGCCAAAGGCTCAGGTTTCCTCAGGAAGGGGGATGATTTATTTCCCAGCCAGGTGAATGAATAGACTTCATTTCGGGTAATCTAGAGAAAGAGTCATACTGACGGATGTGACAGGCCACATGCACCAACCACCGGATCTGTGGCTGGTAGATGCAGCCCCTGACTGTTCCCAGCCCCTCCTTGGCCTTTGTTTTAGGGCTTGAACAGACCTGGGGGGAGGGGAGAGGCAGAGAGACTTCAGAACTTTGTCAGAGCTTGAATGCAGAGGGTTTGCATTCCACTCCTCCCACCTTTCCACCATCATCAGCTCCAGATTGTGAGCTGTGAACTTTTTTTTCTTAACTTCTATGTCTCTTTACAAACACCTTCACCAGCAGCAGCACTCTGGATAAGTAGCCTGGGAGTCAGAAGTTAGCTGTTTGGGAATGTCAGAATTCTGATCACCGTGTAAAAGGCTCTTCTTCACTTCACTCCCTTCTAGGTGTGGGTAGCAGAGACAGTTATTGGTCAGGGTTAAGATCCCCTATTCAGACAGTGTCCCAGGATTCCTTTCACACACAACCTGATTTTTCTCTTGGGGATTCAGAAAAAACGTAGAAAAGCGAGCTTTGCTGGAGAACATGGAGGGGCTCTTCCTGGCTGTGGATGAAATTGTAGATGGAGGGTGAGTTCTCTGCCTTGCCTGGATTTGCAGTGGGGAGGGGAGGTGGCTGTCCCTCTTCAAGTCGACTGGGCTGACCAGCAAGTGATCCTGACCTCACAGCAGACTGGTCCCTTGGAACTGGACCAAGCAAGCAACCATCTTCTTTGTGTTTGTAGGGTGATCCTAGAGAGTGACCCCCAGCAAGTGGTGCACCGGGTGGCTTTGAGGGTAAGCAGGAATGTGCATCCCCGTCTCTCCACAGGCCCTCCTAAGCCAGACTTGCTTGGGTGTAGCTGAGGGTCCAGCTCATGCATACATCCTATCTTTTCCTGTCCTCTTCACATGAGTATATCATTCTCCTAGCTTCTCCATCTCAGTGTCCCAGAGAAGCAGAGGGACTCGTTTATGTTTCTAACCTGGCACCTAGCATTTTATGTGGTCTTTCCACAGAATGGGCACTTTTAATATGTTGAATGAACAAAGAAGTAAAAGAAACCTTAATAATTCCTGGTTCTAAAACTATAAAGGAACTTGAGGTTGGCTTGTTGCCTCTTTGAAGATAGATCTAGTCACCAGAGGCAGAGGAGTGTCTTAGTCTGATGGAACTCTCAGAATGCACGTAATTCCAAGCACCTCAGCCCTCCTTGGTGCTAGTGATACCAGAAAGGCAGTCACTGAGTTAATGGTAGGAGTCTTTGTGTCTGCTGGGAAATGACAGTGCAGAGAATCCACCTGTAAATTGTATGGTACGGACCTGTCTGAGCAGAGGTGTGCTACCAGTTCCCAGAATGTCCCAGCTCTGACCTCCACAGAGTGAAAGCTGCCAGTGCTGGGTAATGGGAAGTCTTCTTCCTTAACTGCTGTGGGCTCTATTTGCATAGTTTAATCTTCTCCTCTAACATATGTCTCTATGTGGCAAGAGAGAACCCCCACCCCCACCCGTCTCCCCCTTTCCCTTCTCAGGCTGCTGTTGCAGCAGTTTATTTCTTCAAATTAACATGCAGTCGTTACCCATCAGGCCTTGCGGGATCCATTAACTACCCCTGGCTCCCTCCACACACACACCCCGTATTGATATTCAGGGAAGGTCTTCTCCGACTAGGGAATCAGGTCCCCCACCCCAGAGTTGAGGGAGGTGAGGATCAGATATCCTGCTGATTACTTGGAATGAAATAAATCTTTTAAGAAGTCATCCTGCCTTTAAGTGGAGGATGGATAAAATGATCCTTTGTGTTCACAGTCCCTCTGGCCAAGTAAATTGTGGCTCAGTCTTTGGAAGGGACTGAGAAGTTTAGGGCATTTGCCTTTGCTTCAGTTTAAAAGAACACTTCTTCCTCTACCAGGCTCCAGTCTAAGTGCTTATCTCTGTACACAGGGTGAAGACGTCCCCCTTACAGAGCAGACCGTGTCTCAGGTATGACTCTCTCTCTTCCTTCCTCCTCTCCACATGGACAGAGACTAACTAGCAGGAGCCCCCGACCTGCCAAGTCTGAATTGAGACCTCACACTTAGTTAGCTTCCTTGGCTCCTCTTATTCCAGAGCGCTGGGACTCATTGAACAGTGTCCTCGGCCCCGGTGTCTCCCTTTACTGTGATCAGGACTGTCAGCCTTGCTCTGTACCCTTCAGACCTTCCCTGCCTGATACCTCAGTCGGTGATTTATTCCCCTGCAGAGGCTTGCCTTAAGCAGATGGTCTGTGTGCATGTGAGCACACACTTCTCTTTCTCTTATTATTCAAATGAGGGCTGAGCTGAAAATGCATAGTCTGGAATATGCGGGCTTCGAAGATCCATCCTTCTACCTTGACTGCAGATAGATTGTCTGCTTGACCTGGAGGCCTGCATGGAAGTGGTTCTGGTTTTGCCCAGTAGGAATCCTCACCATCTGGATGTGTAGTCCCCTCTTTATAACGTGTGTCCAGTAACCCCCAGCTTTTTTTTTTCTTTCCTCCCAGGTATATCTCTTCTCTCTTCATCCCCCCAGTGGATTTGAATTCGGGGGGAATTTCCCAAACTGACAATCCTCTAGGGCCTTAGAGAGCTTCCTCCTATTCTTCCACCCTTGGGATTTTCTATCCCCTGTTCTTCTAAGGAGAGGGAAGGCAAGTGTGGGGAAGGAGAGCCTCAGCCTGCTCACACCCTGTGGCTTGCAAGCCCCCCTCAGTGCTGCCTTTGTCTCCACAGGTGCTGCAGTCAGCCAAAGAACAGATCAAATGGTCCCTCCTTCGGTGAAGGTGTTCTGAGCCCAGTTCCTTGCCCCTCAAAAGTCGCATCTGCTGTGACTTCTTATCCAGCTCCCCCCCAACTTATGTCCTTAGGGTCATCTTGGAGAATTGCAATGGATTTTTGTGTCTCTATACTTTCTGGGATTCTTTCCCCTCCCTCTCCTGAGAGTAAAGTCCCCAGCAGATTTGAGTGAGTCAGGGGAAACACTCTCTTCCTACTTACACTGGTCTACCCCCAGCGCCACCCCAACCCCCATTCTCTCCTTGGTTTCTTGGCCCTTTTCTGTGGCTGTACTTCAGATCATCAAAGCAAGAGAAAGAATGTGCTGAGTGTTTTCTTCCCTGTGCCTTCAGGGCCCTCATCTCAGCAGCCCATATATCCAGCAGAGGGAGGACTCCTAACTTCAGCACAAGTGGGTTTGGAGTAGCAGAGGCCAAACATTCTTTGCCTCAGCTTCTCTCCTTCCTGCTGCCCTGTCCTCTCTCTGCCTTGGAAGCAACGGGAACAGCTTTTAGGGAGAGCACAGCTGCAGAGGAACAGTGATTTAAAGGTTCTTGGAGCTTATGAAGTGCAGCCTCTACCTTGATCTGGCCTTCAGCCTCAAAGCTGCTGTACCTGCACGTGGTCCTGAGAACATCTCTCTGCCTGTATCACCTGTGAGATCTTTGCCTGGTGTGGCCTCTGTCACCTTGGAGCAAAGCTAGATCTTGGAACTAAAATGACCCTAGTCCCTAGAAGAGTTTCTGCTCAGAACTGAGGGAGGAAAGGACCTTAATGACTTTAGCCCTGCCGAGTTCCTTCTCAGTTCCTTACTCACATTCCTCTGCCTTGGTTCTACAATCTGCTGTTGAGGTTTCTCCACCCCCCCCCATCAGACTTCCCCAGAAGTGGGGGGTCTGGTGCAGTGCCTTTCCTCTGAGGCTTGGATTCCCGTTCTTGGGTGTAATGTTGCCCCTTGACCCCACATCCCTGTGAAAATGACTTAGAAAAAAATTTTTTTGAGCAAGCGTTCTGCCCCATGTATTGGCTGAAGTGAGCAGACTGGAGGCGGCCTCAGCAAGAAATGGAGTCGAAGTCCACCTTCTACGCTGCTCTGCGGCAGAGGAATAAAGTGAATCTCTTCCAAACTGCCTTTGTGTGATGGTTCTGTTCCTCCCTTTTTTGGCAGCTATTCCTGTTCCTCCAGGCCCCCCACCCCCACCCCGCACCCCACCTCTTATAATATTTCTTCCTTTCTACCTCAGAGACTCCCCAGCAGTCCCCCCCCCCACCCCTAATTTACAGGGCTGTTTGCCTCCTTGGCATCTCTAGTCCCCTCGCCTGGAAATTGGCGCCAGGGGTGGGGTGGGGATGGTATTTTCTCAGTGGGAGACTCAGGGAACTGAGTTCTCCCCCACACACCCCCAAAGCCAGCTGCCTGCTCCCGCCTCAGCCATTAGTAACCCGGAGACGCGCACCTGCGTGGAGGCTCTCCTCCAGCCCCTGCTCCCTTCCCGCACCTCCCACTCCTCTGAAACGGCGCTGAGCGGGTTATTTATCGGAGCCTGCGCTGCTCCAGAAGGTCAGGACGGTGGTGTAAATAACCTCTTCTCGCCATTTCCCCATCCCTCCAGAGCCTGCTCCCCTCCCCCTCCTCTACCTTTATTCGCACAAATGAATGTGGCTGGGCTGGCGCAGAGCCTGGCCCTGCATCTTAATGGGGCGGTGAGCTCACAAGATGGATTTAGCTGGGGGTTTTATGGTTGCTGCGGCGACAGGAGAATGCTTTGGTTTTCTTTCCCCCTTCCTCTGCAGGATTTTAAGGAGGGGGCAGTGCGGGACTCCTCCTCTCCCCTGAGATTTGAAGGGTCTTCTCAGTCACCTCTACTGTTCTGACACGGGTCTGCAAACCCAGGACTGACAAGGAAAGGGGGAAGGAAGGAAGCAGAATGGGAAGAACCTCTGTAACACAGGCACGAAGCCTATGATTTGAACGGTCCTCCTCTTATGGAAACCTTAGGCCCAGCAGCTGTGAAGCACCTGAGCCCAGGATCTCTCTAAGCAGATAGAAAGCTATATGCTAGACCACTCCTGCTTGGGGCCCTGTACTGGAAGCTGAAGGGCTGGTGGGAAAAGAGCTATGATGCCCTCTGTCTTTGGCTGTCTGATCTGTGAGAAGCAGTGCCCAGCTTTATATCCCCCAACCTGCTTCTCGTGGCCTGTGTAGCCTTTGGCTTGGGACAGCATGATTAGAACGGAGTTGAGGGCTCATGTGCAGATGTATCAACAGGAGTGTAGTTCTTTCTATTTTGATTCTCAAATCCCAAATTCTCTACGCTTGTTCTCCAGCCTTCTGTTTCCCACCAAGACTGAAGTTTTGGTGCCCCTGCCTACCCTGTCCAATGGCGAGCAACTTTCATTTGGGACTCTGCAAACCGGTCCTTAGCACTAACTAAAACAGACACAGCAGTGGCTTGGACTGTCTGGTTTGCCTCCCCCTCCTGTTTGTGAACCTTTCCCTCTTCCCCTGGGGATTCTTAGGAGGCCCTCCTCCCTTCTTCCCTTTTGGCTGGGAAAGAGACTACAGCCTGAACAGTGCCAGACACCTGCCTGCCAGATGTGGCGATTCCCCATGCTGCCCCTACCCCACTGTCTCTCTTTTCCCCACCCCACTGAGCTCAGGCAGAGGGAGCTCCCCCACAGAGTGATTTACTGCTGCAGTCTCTTCCTCAAGTGCCCCTTCAGGCTTCTCTCTCGCCTGGTGCCCTTGCTCCCTCTTTTCCCACTAAGGCCAGGCAGCCTTGCCCCATTCCAACTGCAGGACCCTTTGCTGGGTGAGCTCTAGCTCCCTCTCTGACCAAAGAAGGAATGGGTGGGTGAAGGGCAATGCCCCTGCTGCATCCCTAGGAGAGAAATCAGCTGCGGGGCTGAGGAGAGCAGCAGATGAGAGCTGATGTCATTCTCAATCGGAGAGAACTGGAGTGGAGAGGCTATCAGAACCAGGACACTGAACCAACAACCCCGGGATAGGCTGAGCCTCTGAGGAGTTTCTAGGCAGACCAGAGACCATGATTGGGGCTGTGTTGTGCATATTGCAGTTTCATGTCTACCTGGGTCTCCAGGCCTTGTTTCTGGATCTGTGTTTTAAATAACCTCACAGGTGCCCCTTTAGTTTGACCCCAAATGCTCAGGGACTCCAAGCCCTTCCTTATTTGGTGTTTGGCCTGCAGTGTTCTTGCTCTATGTCTTCCTGAGTTTCCCTAGGTCTTTTCAGCTCTCCTTCAGTGGCACTTCTCTGCTCACCTCCCAGGTACCCTGTCCTCTACTTCCTGGCCATAGCAGAATCCACTGGACGCATGTAGAGCCTGTTTCCTCCCATCCATCCTTGTAACCTGGGTTGGAACAGGGGTCATAGTGGAACTGAGACAGGGGGATGACAGGACTTAGAGCGTTTAGAGTCTGGGCACATGGAGAGCACAAGAAAGGAAGGGAAGGGGAGGAGGAGGCTAAGAAGGAAAGAGGCAGTGAAGGCACAGAAGCAGAGGTGGAGAGAGGTAAATGAAAATGACAAGCTGGGAGAGAAATCTTACAAAGAAAGCAAGCAGAGAAAAAAATGAAGGTGGAGACAGGAAAGACACAGCAAGAAAGGCTGCTGGGGAGGGGCAGGCTGGCTCTCCTGGGCTGCTTTATGCTGACAGGTCATAAATCATGTGTGTGTGCACATATGCACATGACACATGCATGTAGGAGTCCAAGGTGCTGAAAAGGACGATGTCCACAATATTATCCCTTTAGCAGCCTCCTTTGAGGTACCTAGCACGATGTCCCAGTATTTTTGTTGCTCCAGGGACAATTTGGAAAGTACTTCCACATTTCAGGAACCCTGGCTTTCTCACTTGAAATATAAGCCTGCTGGAATGTCCAGGACCTATAGAATAATCCAAAGGTCCCATCCCCTCAGTGTACATCCCCGTGGCTGCCCACCAGCTGCTCCTGTCCATCTCCTCCCACTCTTCTTGTCTGCCCCCCTCCCCCAGACTCTGACCCCCAGCCTGCCTGGGGCCTGGGTCAGAGGGGAGACAAAGACAGGATTTATCACCAGTGTAGAAAAGCAGCTAGAGACCAGGGCTGAGGGCAAGGGCTGACCTCCCTGGGATGGGAGGAGACACAGGGCCGGATGCAAGAGGCTAGAAGTCTGGGCTCTTCTGGTTCCTACCCATAACCCCCAGTGTTCTTGCTCAGCCTGGTTCTCCTTTTTCCCTGAAAACAGAGAAGATGCCCCTGAGGCAATTGTTGGCCTCTAAAGGAAAATTCGAGCGGGGAACAGATGAGATCCGTGTCACAGGGTCATTTTCTCATGATTGGAAGGGAACCAGAGGCAACCAGGCCTTCAGCTTTTTCTGGGGCTAGGAAGATGCTGCCAGATGTGGTACAGAGGACTGCTTTCTAATATAGAGAGGGATCTCAGGGCAAACCTGTCAGGTCACCAGCAGGAAGGGAAATAGGGGTCTTGAAAGACAGGAGGCAAGTCCCACCTGGAAGATAAAGCAGCAGAACTGGTAAGGGGTTACAAGTTCCTACTTCAGAGAGTCTGTTTCCTCCCTGAGGTGGCACTCAAAGGGCAGAGGAAGCTGCCTTTGAAGCAAACACAGTTGGCCAAAGATTGTCCACTCAGCAGACAGGACATGTGCTGGAAGAGACGCCAGTATGATCCAAGGAGGTTCTGAGAAACCAGACTGTATATCTTCTGTGGATGGATCCTGAGGTTCACCTCCAGCTGCCCTGAGAGCCATCTCCAGAGCCTTGGTGCTCCTGGCATCCAGTGCCCTGATTCTCGCCTTACCTTACTATTTCCAGAGGATAGACACTAGAGTGAACTCCAGGCAAGAGCTAGGTGGGAGAGCCACTGAACCCTCCCCTTAGTCCCTTCCAACCCATTCCTACCCAGGGCAGATGTGGGAAAACGGGATCCGTTCTCAGACTTCTCTATGAGGAGCATTGACTCAATTTCTGATGAAATGCTAGAAGTTGGAAATTTTACTGAGAAGGGAAATGGATTGGGAGAAAACAAAGGAATGGGGTGGAGGGGGGGCAGGAAAAGGGAGAGGAGATCCTGTCTTTTTTCCTTATTCTCTCTTCCCCCGATTGAGGAGGCAGATTTACAGCCTTGGTGTTGGGGGGAGGTGAGCATAAGGAAGACAGATCTGCAGTTTTGCCCTCTGAGTGTCTGGGTACTTAGCTTTAACTCCCCCATTAGCATCAATCCCCATCTTGCTGCCCATCCGTCTTCTGACATCAGCTCCTTCCTCTCTGTGTAGGCCAGGCTTTCTGACCCTAAGTGGCTCTTAAAGGGCCAGTCTAGACCCTTCTCTTTCCTTCCTCTCAGTGGGAGGAGGTGGAGGCAGCAAGCTGGAGCCTGTGCATATGTATACTGTGGCTATCCTTGCTGAGGCCAGTGTCACTGAGGGCGGCGGGGGCGGGGGGGGGGCAGGGTGACTTTCCCACTTCTCTGTAGAGCTTCCTTATGTCATGGCCCCTATCTTTGTCTGCTAACTCCCCAAACCAAGAACAAACGCATTGCTGGCCAGGGGTTGAGGACTGGAGAAGGCATGTGGATTCTTAAGCAGATCCTTCTTCCCTCTCTTTTTTACCGGAGGCCCAGGGCCAAGGAGTGTTTTTAATTCTCAGCCAGCAATGGAGAACCGAGGCTCCTAGGAGATACATTGGGCACCAGATTCCTAGCCTCCTTCTCCAAGGATCCAGGCTGCGGGCTCGGCGGGAGATTGCAAATCCCTTCTCTGTGAGGGAGACGTCAAGTCCGAGAAACCTGCTTGTGTTTGCTGGCTCCTCTCCTCAATTCATTCCTCAGCAACTGAACTTAGAGGCGCAGAAAGAGAGCAGACTTCGCCCGGTCCTCTGCAGAAAGGCTGTAACTGCCCTCCAGGGTCTCCAAGAACGAAAGGATGCTCACAAAGTTCTTCCCTGACCTGCCTTCCATCCTTCCTGCTGCAGAACTCTGCAGTCATCGGAGGGGGTTCTCAAGGGCCGTACCTTTCTAACTTTCTTACTGGTTTCTGAAGCCCACTACCCACAGTCCCGGAGCTCCCTCTGGCTCAAGATGAGAGGGAGCCGCTGGTGGGGTCCTTGGGAA